TGTGTGTGGTGTGTGGGTGGGTGTGTGTCTCTGTCTCTCAGTGTGTGTGTGTTTGTGTGTGGTGTGTGGGTGTGTGTCATGTGGAGGCCAGAGGTCGGTATAAGGCCTTCTCTGGTTGCTTCACTGGCAGGACGCCCCAGGATCCACAAGCCCGGCACATCTGGCTGTTCACATGGGTTTGCAGGACCCAGAGGCAGACATCTGTGTTTGCATGGCTTTACACACCCACCCTCTCCCCACATCTCCCCAAGGACTTCCACTGGAAATGTCAGTAAACATGAGAAGTATAAAGCTTCCATTTTTGTTTGTTTTTAGTGGAACTATCTTGGAAGATTTTTAGTATCCAAACTCAACAAACGCACTCATTTTGATATTGCAGTATAAAATACAGTCCAGCCAATCCTTCCGTTCTGAACTGTTCCTCGACTGTTATCCCGGGATCAGGGCCGAGGTGAAGAGGGTCCCATTAGTGCCAGCACTCAGCTGAGGTGGTAAACTCGGGTGTGTGGACACAAAGCACCTTTTTTCTGGGGGCAGTGTGGTTAGAGTTTATGTGCTTCGTGTAAGGTCATACAGTGGCCTTGGGAGGCAGCCACAGCCACAGCAGACTACCCCGACTTTCCTGGAGCGGCAGCACACACACCCACACACACTGGCACACACTGGCACACACTGGCACACACTGGTCTGAAGTGCAGGACTTTTTATAGCTGTGCAGAGGCGGGAATATTGAATTATTGGGCCGCATTCCCGCCAGGTTTTGACTGGTTTTGGATTTGCAGCTAAGAAGCCGCCTCAGACTCTGCCAAGCCCCGAGGCTGAGGTGGCGGAGGATCGCTGTCCCCATGTTGTCTGCAGCCCTGTGTCAGGCTTCTGGGTGGGCGGGGTGGCAGGGTGGCAGGGTGGCAGGCAAGATGGCCACTGACAGGAGGCAGCCGGGGAGCAGGAGCAGGGACACCAAAGGCCAAGGTCAGAGATTCTCCCCAGGGCCTGGGGTCTGTGCTCCCAGGCCTGGCTCAGCACTTGTGTGTGTGTGTGTGTGTGTGTGTGTGTGTGTGTGTGTGTGTGTGT